TACCCAAGGATGTACCCAGCGAGTAGAAGTTCTGGTTGGGCACGTAGCCAATGATGAGATCGGGACGAGTCTCAATCCAGCTCCATTTCTTGTCTTTGGCGTAATTGGCGATCCAGTCGTTCTGTGCGTGGTAGAACAGCATCTCGGCGTACGGGCTGGGTATGCGGGGGTAGGATTCTTTGAGCGGCGGGGGAGGGAGTTTGGGCCCGGTGGTGCCCGGAGGAGCGACTTCATCGAACCACGGAAGTGCAGCGAGGAGATGGCAGCCATCTAATGTATGTTAGTCTTGGGTGTCCAACACCTTCACAAGAATGGGATAGGGCTTACAGATCTTCGAGCCGATTTGCAACACAACGTATTCCAAGTTCGGGCACAGCTTATCCATAGCTGTCACCGCTTTGGAAAACATTTCCACAGCCTCGTCCAACTCCTTTTGTACATCCATGCCCGCCTTGTACGCAAAGTAGTATACGTGCGTCACCTCCCTGATGTCCGGTATCTTCTCTACCAGCTCCTTGTTGAGACTTTCTTGGCTATGTGCGAGTAGGTCAATGCCAGAGACCAGGTTTAGGCGCGGGTCCTCTGGCCATTGTGTTTGATTCGGGGCGAGAGGGCGGTTGTTGAGGCCATGAACCCGCTTCCATATGTTCTTCTCGGGATAGTCGGAGAGGATCTCGTTGACGAAGGACCATCCTGTATGATCAGTGTCAGTATGAAGCTCATCTATAGTCTTTTGAGGGGTTTACTGACCGGTCACACCGGATGCGCCAAACACGACAGCTGACTTTGACATTCTTCAAGACGTGCTAAGGGTGAGCTTTGAGAAGAGTGAGGCCTCAAGGATAATGAAGCTTATAAGCAGGGCGAAGCGATAAGGCACCGGCACGGCGTGTGCCAAAAACTAGCCCTTGCAGAGACTACATGTTGTCTCTTTGCATGGGCGACCAGTATGGAAGGTGGGGTTGCCGCAAGGAGCGCCCGAGAATATAGCCGTCTTCGAGTCATCCCAGCCTCTTTGGGACGCGTTGCCGATTCATGATATGCGAAATCCCAGATCGAGGGGCCCGTTGTATGTATGCGACATGTGCGCGGCGCGTCGACGTCTGATGAGGAGCTTATAGGATAAGGTCGTGGTGGAGGAAGGAACGACGGGAAGACGTGACGAGACATTTTCGCAGGGTCCATGACGTCGGCGACGCGCCGGGCGAGAAGGTAAGCGTCCCCCTGACACATCTTGCGCAGCCAACACAACACGACCGCATCATCGATATGTCCAACGCTATGCAAAAGATGGTATGAGGAGAGCCAGATTATCAATTAAACTACAGCATTCTAGGTGCTCAGTGGAACTCGTTCTTGTCTGCGTACACGTCATTCTCGAGGAAGACCTCCACCTTGTCTGTCATCTTCGGTGTCAAATCCTCGCAATAGAAGATGCAGAGCAGTCCTACGATACCAAAACTCAGACTACTGAGTGCCACAATCTTCAGCGCGTGCGCATAGCTCCATTGGAACGCCAAAGAAGCCGCGCCTAGTGCCTCTGGACTTGTACCTGGCACTTCGGCGATGGCGGCTGCGCCTAGGGGCAAAGCGGCAAGTAAAGCTTGCGCGTTCTCCAACGACATGCCCGCTTTCACAGCTGCAGATGGAACCGTCGCAGCAGCGCGAGTGGTCTGGGTGTTGGTGAGGATAGTGGTATAGATGGCTTGAGCCAGCGACCCTCCTGCGTAACGAGCCATACCCGCCAAGCCACCCGAGAAACCGAGATCTTGTTGTGGCACGCCAAGTTGCGTGAACGCGATGGACTCGTACTGTGCCCAGCCGAAGAAAGAAGCGTTGATGCAGCAGAACGCGATCATCAAGTTTTGGTTGAACGGGGTGACAAGGCCCATCAAGGCACCGAATAGCACCATGCCAGTCCAGGTACCGATCAATGTCCATTTCCAGTGTCCGATCACGTTGCCGAAAGCCATGAGGCATAGTGATCCGAAAACAAGGCCTACATTCGGCGGCAACGTGAGCAGCAGTTCGGTACTCCGCGATACGTTCGGGCCCAGGTAGAAGACATTCACCATCGTCGGCCAGATGATGTTGACTGAGTAGTAGAACATGGTGACGATGAACGCTACGATGAACGGCGCCGTGAATTCTCTTCCTTTATGGCTCCGGAACAGGTGTGGCGGGCAGAGTTTGAAGCGGGTGTTCGAGAGCGTCTCCCAGACTCCGAAGGCAGCGATCAGGACGAACCCGACTACCATGGGTGCAATGACGGTTACGTCTGAGCTCGGCTTGTATGTGGTGTTGATGATACCAACAAGCGCAAGGCAGATGCCTGGCACAATGAGTGCAGTGCCCACATAGTCGAGGCCGCGGACTGCCTCGGACCATGGAACCCCCTTGGGGTGCTTCGGTGGCTTGTAGAGCAAGAAAAGAGATATAAAGGATATGGATTGAGCAATCAGACCAGCCCAGTATACCCACTGCCACGCATTGACGTCGATGGCGTACTGTGAAGGAATGTCAGCTATTTCACCCAGCAGGTCGAAGCACTACACTCACTCTTCCAACAATAGGACCAATTATAACGATGAGGAAGACGAAACCGTCTGATAGACAGATACCAATGTGGCGGAACTTGTTTGGTAGAAGTTCTGTGACAGTCAGACCCCCTAGCATGTAAAACGCAACGCAGCTCACTCACCAGGAATGCTACACATTGCCATCTGCGCAAATCCAGCTCCAAATCCAGTTATGGCCAGTCCAGCTGTGAAGTGGTCTGCTCCTTTCGCTGTCGCGGTCACGATGAAACCGACGCAACAACACGCATTACCAAACAACAAGAACCACCTCCTTCCAAACAGATCGGAGTTCGCGCCTGCAAGAAGGAAGCCAATCGCGTTGGCTGTTGTGTAAGCGGGTATGAACCACGCGCTCGCTGTCGGAGCACCAAATTGAATGGCAAGCCGAGCCATCATCGCTGAGGTGGTAGGTACAGGCCAAAAGGAAAGACCGAAAGTCGAAGACAGGATGAAGATGACGAGCCATGTCTTTGGTGTTATAGTGGTTGTATCTGGGGTGACGAATGTCTGTGGTGGTGTCGCTGCAACGGTTTCGATTTGCTCAATGTCTCTCTTCTCGTCCGATGGCCGGCGCAGGCCGCTCTCGTGGACGGCAGTTACTGCCATGATGGTTTGGTGAAGGGAAAGTCGCCTGATGCAAGTGCGACTTTGTGTGACTGGGATGAGGGATCGTCGTGAAGAGCCCACTCATGGCTTGCATATATCCTTCGCTGGGTCGTGTAGACATGCACAGGTCACATCTCATCAAGCCACTGGTCCGACACCTGGACTTTCCTCCAACCCCGCATCTCGGATACACAGAAGCACAGCTAACTATGTCACTGCGTTGTTCTATTGGCTAGATTTCTCCATCATTTTTCAGCATTTCGTTACATATTCTGGAAATCCGGGGTAGTGGATGTGGATGTGGGTATCCGAGACTGACTGCGGAGAAGAAGTGCGCCACATCATGGCACTTGACTGGAAGTGGTAGTGGGCGATCAAGGGATGAGGATCGTCTTCACCTGGAACAACGTTTCCGTCGGTACTGAGCTATGCGTGAAAGCTTATTTCCGACATCCGTGCGTTCACCTCGAGATCGCAGCCATGAACATCATTGCACGTGCGAAATACAGGGTGTACTGTGGACTTTGAGCTAGACGAGACCGACATGTGACAGCACGGTCCTGAAGTCCTAGAATTGGTCAAGGGTTGGGCTGGTTTGGTTGTTTGTTAAATATATTAGTCTGCAAACCATACATCTGCTTCGAGGCATGGAAGAGACATGATGGACTAATTCAGTGTGTATGGTATCTAGTCGCAGAGAGACCATGTATAGATAGACAGATAGATATGGTAGTCTTCCGCTCTAATCCACTACAACGCCTAGTACTTTGTTTCCCGTACTATGTCTAGATAGCGCCCAGACTACGCATCCTCTCTGCGCGTAATCCCATCCGTAGCATCGCAATCAGGAATCGCTTTTCCAAAGCAGATCATATCATGTCTAGACTCATTCCATCAGCAAACCAGTTCACACTAACCACCAACCTCGCCGACATTACCCGCCAAAACAGGAACAAAGAAAGACTCACCCAGCCATGACCTGGATGCCCTTCTCCAGATCCATAAACTTCTCCGCATCCGGCATCAGTGCAGCCCGGTACTCGTCGCTCCCGGCAAAAGCCTCCCAGTCTTCCCACTTCTTCACCCAGACTTGACTGCAAGCATCGTAGTCTAGTAGATCCATGCCCAAGCTCTGCAATTTACTTCTGAGCTCTGGTGATTGGTAGTGCTGTACGTAGCGTTGTATTTTGACTGCGTGGAACTTCTTGCATGCGACAGTGAGATCGGAGTGGATGTGGTTGTAATGCTTTTTGAAGAACTCATCGGTAACATCGGGGCGCTTGCGAAAGAAGAAGGAGAGCTTTATACAGGCTAGAAGAGAGCTTCAGTACATGATATATTCCAGTGACGAGGATGGACAGACGCTGGTAGTTCTCTTGTTTGTCCCATTCAAACTCGGGGTTTGCGAAATCATGCTGCTGAAGTGTTAGTCATGCATGTAGAACAAAAAGGGCGGAGAGCATACATCGATAGTCTTGTAGGTCATCTTAGCATGTAGTTGGTGATCGTGTAAGAAAGTCGAAGGCTCTTGGGTTGTCGGCTCCTAGAACCTAAAGTACCTGTGTATTCCACAAGTACAGCCACTAACAGTGACCCTGCATAACCGACCGAGGAAAACAGAGCAAGCCAAGTTCAGCGTGCGGGGTCTAGTATATGGCGGTACTATCAGTGGCACGATCGAAGCAGGCTGCCTAATGTCATGTTGTACAATTGATCGCTGATCAGTGGTATGAGCGCCTCACAGTATGTAGGCATCGTGATGACGGTCCTCAGTTGATATCGTGAAATTAATGCTGGACTAGATAAATAACGTGTCTAGAATACAACAACCTGTCTCTTCTCCGCTTTACCAGCCTCCATATCAGCGACCATCTGCGGCAAATCATCAATCTTGCGGAACTCGACTTCTGGTTGTATGCTGCGGAAGGTCAGAAACTGTTTTCACATGTCAAAAGAAGTAACATACCTGTGCTTGCCAGTGAAATCCACAGCCTTCTTCATTCGCTGCGGAATACCCGTGCTGTCGGCCTTGATGCGGTACCGTCCTGTTGTTAAGTCGAAGGTGTTGATGAAGTCCAGTCCTTTCGGTGCGATTCCAATGACCATGAGTAGTCCGCCTGTTCTCAAGACATCTGGGGCGCCGGCGTATGCTGCATTCGATGCGCTGTAGACCGCCGCTGCGTGGCATCCTTTGCCTCCAGTGAGCTTCTTGATCTCTTCGAGATAATCCTTGTTCTTCATGGAGTTGAAGACAGCTTCCGCGCCGACCTTTTTCGCAACATCCAATTGGTTGTCGTTGATATCGAGACCGATGGTCTTGATACCCATCTGTCTACTGTCAGTCGCCATGCGTAGCGCAGCTTTCTGCCCAAACTTACGGCTTTTGCATATTGTATCGCATACTGTCCAAGACCGCCGCACCCGATAACCGCCAGCCAATCGCCCGCCTTCAACTCACAGCTGTCCACTGAATGAAATGCTGTGATACCCGCACAGAACAGCGGTGCAGTCTTACTCATATCGAGGTTTTCGGGTAGCTTGACTGCATTCTGCCAATCAACGACCGCGTACTCGGCGAAGTACCCATCCGACACGAAACCTTGTAGTTTCTGGTTACCCGTCTCGCATCGCATGTTGTGGATCATGCAACCTTCGCATTCGAAACATGCCCCGATGAAGTAGTTAAATCCGATAGCATCACCGACTTCGAAGCCTTTGCTGCTGGCTTCCGCTCCAATGGACTCAATGTAGCCGACTCCTTCATGGCCTAAGGTAACGTTGTAGTCGGGTCTCATGGCCATGAGCAAGTCTGAATGACATAATGATGCTGACTGTATCTTGACTAGGAACTGATTTGGTGCTTCGGTGGGTTTCGGCACGTCATTGACGACGACCTTTTGCTGCTTGCTGGATGTCTCGTCAGTCTCATACTCAGTGAGGACTACCTAGGTACTGTGTACTTACGGATCCCACTGGCCAGCTTTCATGATTAGAATTGTCCCGACGTCTCTTGTGTGGCTTTTGGTATAGCTTGAGGACTATGTTGGATCCAAAGAAGAGTATAAGTACCTACTCTGCGCTTCGCATTCACTCTACCTATGTATGCAACGGGTTGTGAGGCGCGACAGAACAGGAAAGACTGCAGGGATTGTGCTGCGAGTCATCCCGACACCATGAGGGCACCGTTGCTGACTTGGCCTTAGCAAAGCCGTTCATACGGAAAAAGGTGGCCGACATGGCGCGCGGGCTGAGAACGTTTGGCTAGAGGTGAAGCTTGGAGGATGCTGGGTGCGTGGCACGCGGGGAAGGAAGAAGCGGGGTCCAGATGTCTAGCTCAACCACCTCCGCGCGACCTTGTCTTCATGCGTTCTACGCCGGACATCGAGGGCATGTCGCATTGTACAGGCAAAACGAGAATGCGCCACTGTAGATACTAGTTATGGCTTAGGTACGATCGATAGTACAACGCATAGGAGCGGGTGAAGGGCAAAAAGAAGACAGGGGCAAACCCCAAAACGATCCTGGAGCCATCATCATCTTGGGCAATCGCTCACCACACCTGGGCATGCTGCCCTCTGAGCACAATATACCCTGATGTAACAGCACCTGCCTCTAGTGGAGCTTCTTTCCTTGTGATCCGCGCATCGCCGAACGCCTCAGTCCACTTGCTCGACTTCGTTGTTGGCCATCATGGGTCATGCGGCTTTACGTGCGCTGCGGCGTCTAGGGCTCGACGTCGCTTTCGATTTGACGGGCTGATCTCGGGTACAGACACGTCGTCATTCTGACTGCGCGAGAGGGCAAAAGATAGTATTTCGATAAGGGCGCATATTCCTCGTGTGGTCGTGCGATCGATGTTCATGTGGGAGGAGATGAAGCGGCGCCAGAAGCAAGGGATTGCGCAAGCAGTTAGCGCCCATCGTTGGCGGGCTGCGGCCCCGGGCTTTGGAACGCCCACAGCATGGACGCTCCAGCTTTGTACTCTCACTTCAACAAAGTAACCATAGAACGTGGCGAGGCAGCGTCTATCAGAATACACGTCCTCGGCAGGTACATGCGGCTGGCATCAAGACTTTGCGAATCTGTGAAGGCGATATACCTGGGCAGGCTGAAATCTGTCGCGAGATGCTTCCAAGGGTGGGTTGCATCAAAACACCTGGCTGCGAATAATCTCAGTCTTTGCTGGATGTATTGAAAGCTCTGTTTACAGATGAGACCGCTGAGAGTTCAATAAATTTAGGCTCAAAGAAATTCTAGCACGTTGCGCCATTACATAGTGGCGGTTCTCAGCTATAGGTAGCTACCTACCTAAGTAAGTAGGTAGTAACCCCCAACTGCTACAAATTGCTCTGTACTTGTGTTGTACTAGCGTCAGACGGCGCAATTGCTAGCTACGCCTTCTTCGAGGACTTCATTTTTGCCTCAGGCTGGTCGTCCCGCTTCGGTGATTCTGGGTCTGGGATTTTGGCGCGCCCCTTGCTGCTCGAACCCTTAGCCCAGGCTATGAGAACAGTAACGATTGTGAGCCTAGTCACAACCCTCAAAAGTCCAGGAAAAAGGCTGATCAACCAAGCAAGCAACCTTCTTCTCCAAGATGACTCGTCGTTGCGATTTATGTACTTGAACGCTATCCATACAGCTACGCCTGTCAAGACCAGCGTCAAGACTTCGGCACTTACTATCGAGAGTCAGTGAGTATTTGCTTCGATTTTGCATGGTTTCTAATCAACACGCTCGTATCCTACACTGGTTTGGAGCGTTGCGAAGCACTTACCGAAGATGCCGCCGATTTTACCACTGTGATAAACACCATCTCTACCAAAAACCTGAAGACTCTCAAAGCCGTCGATTTTGAGAGCAAAGAGTGCTGTAAGGAATGCGAGTGGAGTGAAGACTACTGTGATGACGGTGAATCCAATTACAGCAGTACTGACGACGAGGCTGCTGTGGGCGTCCCTGATACTAGCGTGTGTACGCTTGAGGTTGAGCATGTCCTGTATACTCTTCTCTATTCTCTCTGCATCTCCATCAATCTTTCTTACTCTTCTCATGTACTGCATGATGGTTTCTTGGGACCTTTCGACTGGTGCCCAATCTTGTGGATGTAAGTTTACGCTGTTGTACGGGCGGTCTTCGAGAAAAAGTTTCAATACCCGCTCCTGTTGCTCGAGGAAGTGCTGTATCATGGCAAGCTCACTGCGCACGTCGGAGATGACATGTATGAAGTATCTCTCTCGACGGTACTCAAGTCCACTGAAACTCGACATCCCTCCAGCGGGCTTTTCGGTGTACAGTCTCACTTCTTCCAGAAGCTTAACAACTCTCGTTTCGAAAAGATCGAGCGTAGGCGGATAGTCCACGCCAAGATCACGATAGGCTTTGCCAAATCTGTTGACCAAGCTGGTGATGGTCAAGCCGATGAGAATCTCCGCATATGCTGCAGGATCCTCTTTCTCAGCCCCATCACGGAAGGGCTCCAGCGAGGTTGCAGCTTCTTGCTGCATACTGTAGGCAGATACAATGATGTTTCCAAGCTTATAGACCCATAGCTGTGGTACCATAAGGATGAACGCTGTCTCGTCAGTCTTTTCGACACCGCTCTCTCGCCTATCATAGCAGACAAAGTTGTCTTTACTGTGCGAGACCACCTGATCCTGATTGCGTACCCTCAGGGCTCTGGTAGAGAGCCCTGGATAGTAAGCCTCGTCTAAGGTGCGCTCTAGATGGTCGAAAGAGAGAAGAGATTCATGAGGCTTCAAGTTTCTCTTAAGATCCTCGTGCTTCCGTCTGATCTTTTGTTGTTGTTTGATTTGTGTGAGTACCAGGTATGGAAACTGCAAACATAAGTATTTAGACCCAAGGTGTTACTCCGGATACTAACCACAATCATCGAACCCTTGCCTTCCCATAGCTTGCGACCGCTAAGCAAGCCTTCTTGATCTAGTTGCTTCCAGGCTCTCGATTGATAGGACGGCTCGAGATACGTTAAAAGAGTATCCTTCGAATCACGCTCCAGCGATTCGAAGTTGAAGAAAAAGTCCTCAGGAGCGCACCGTGTAAGGGTTTGTAGAATGACCTTTTGAGCACGTCAGTCCATGAAGGGGATAAGTCAGTCTACATACCGCCATCAGTAGACTCTGTTTAGGTCAGCTTGGTTATCTCTCAAAGAGAAATTATATCCACCGACGTTGTTTCTGCTGACTGAGATCCAAGTCAGGCGTGTCTCCGGTCTGCCTTGGGTCTTCGTGAATGGGTCGTCATATCTCCGTAGAGGAGGCTCAAGGAATGTGTACCATTCGTCATCGTGGAGATCGAGATAGGCTAGCGTATAAAGCCAGTGACGTCTGCCGTGAATTGGAGTCTTTGGAAATCCGCCCTCGCAAAGCCCATTCATAAGGAGATGGGCCTTGACTAAAATTTCTGTCTCTCCATTCCCATATGCGCTGTCGACCTTGTTGCTGTGACTTTGGGGATCTGCTCCAGAAGCTAACAAAAGCTCGACAGTCTCTATCATACCCCACTCAACAGCCCTCGAGAGCAGAGGGACATTTTTGTCTGAAATCGCGGCGTTGATATCAGGTGTTAGCCACTTAGCGACATCTGGTACGTGCTGGAGAGTGCGAAGGATTGTCGCAAGTATCGCCGATTTCAGAGAGTTCTTGGTATCCCCGTCGAGATGGCCTTGGGAATTGATGGTGATTTCCAATCGATTCCAATATAATGTGAATCCGTTAGTATCATCAATTTCTCCCTTCAGAGTCCTTGCTGTGTGTCTCTTGATACCTTTCACCAACTTATCGAGTTTCGTCAGGCTTTCCAAAGTATCCTTTGTTACGCGTCTGGATTCCAAGTACGTGGAAAAAGGTTCGTCGAAGCATGCCGCCATCAAGGTCTCTAACAGCCATGTCAGCACACAGCAACCCTAATGTGGCGAGAAAGGCAGCAAGCGCACCTCGTTCAAGTCCGGCACACACTGGTTCGTCGAGAGCTAATCTGATCGGTTTCTCATTGTGCGCCATCAGGTATCTAACGCAGGAGCGCTAGATGTCTGCGAGAAATCGAATGGAACCTTAGACGGCTTTCACCCCGGCGGCAGGCGCTCTACTTGAACCCCTCCATAGATAATCCTTCCAACAGTGCATATCGCTATTGCGCCATTCAATCAACTTCATGCAGGATGAGCCTATCATCTGCGGAAATCAAACGCCATCATGCAGCTTCGATCAAAATTGTTTCCCAGCCTTGTGCGTGGGGTACGGTGCTGTCATCTTCTTGCAGCTGCATGAACGCCAGCGGCCAAGCAGGAATGGGACTCCTAGTCGCACAAGCGATCGCAGAACCTTCAAGTGGTATGAAGATTGAGCTGCTCCCCATAAGAGCGTTCACCATGATTGATGCGAGTGGACCAGACGGGGGGCAATGGATCTGCACAGAGCTGCACCACAATCGGTGCTACAGGAATGACGCGAGATGACGACGGCCATAAATACACGCGTGGCTTTACTTTAAGCACAGCTCCGATGTGACTTCCGTGCCCGTCTTCAGCTGATGTGGTCCCACATTACCCGCACACATGCGAACAATAAAGCCACAGTGGGGAGGATCAGACCCGACGTCGTCGCGCCGGGCATCGCCATCCTCTCCGCTGCCTCTCGCGCGCTACCACCAAAACAAATCACCGTCCCGTCGCGAACGGGGAATCTGGTGATTCTGATTGGATATTCAGTCACACCTAATATAAATAGCGGTCTTGTGCAGGACCTTCAGCGCCAGGATATACGATATTTGACAGCGGATTTGCTAGAGGTTCGCAAAATAAGGGATATCCAGTAGATAGTGTTGTCCAGATTTATTAAGGAAACTAGACACGGGGGATACAGGAGGCTCACAGGTACGTTTAGGTTCCAGGCTAGACGTTCGTAGATTAGACCATCGGGCTCTACAAGAGTTCATAGCGCACTTGCAGAGCAGACGGAAAACACTCATCACGCACGAAAACCAAAAGTTCAGGCAGACGTCGCATACGACGGTCATTCTGTTTCATAGTGCCTTCATCGATCTACACCTATTTACTGCTGACACTAAGTCTACTCCGCTACATCTTCCGTCCTTCTTACTCTTAAACGTAGTGATACTTGATCGTGATGCGGGGAACGCACATAGCCTTGTACGACATGGGAGCAGTGAAGGGAGCAACGTAAACTGGAGATGTAGGCTGAGCGGGAAGAGCGGAGACACTGGAGGAAGCAGCAACGCCAGGGTAACCAGCAGCGCCAGAGTACGCGGCAGCACCAGAGGGAGCAGCAGCGCCAGAGGAAGCAGCAACGCCGGAAGCAGCAGCGCCGGAGGAAGCGGCAGAGCCAGAAGGAGCAGCAGCGCCAGAGGAAGAAGCAGCGCTCGAAGAAGCAGCAGCGCTGGAAGATGTGACAGCGCTCGAAGATGCAACAGCGGCGACGCGAACAGACGAGGCGACGGCAGAAGAAGAAGCGCTGGGCGTAGGTGTGGGAGCGGCACACAGAGGGGCGGCGGCATTGAGCTTTCCAACGGCCCAGTTCGAGGCGTCTTCGGTGTACTTCTCAAAGTAGCTCAGGTGCTTCTCGACGTCGTCGCCGTTGGCGCAGATCGGGTCTCCCTTAGAGCAGTAAGAGCGCAGAACAGGTGCGAAGCGGTTCAGGCGCGCAAGAGAGGTGGCGTCGCGACCGTTCTTCTGTAGATCAGAGCCGTCAAGAACGTTGTATGGCATGTTAGCCTCGTGCTTGACATCACCCCACAGGAGAGCAGCAGCGACTAAATTACCACATTAGCACAGTCCAAGGTTCGAGTGTGTCATGTCAAGGATACTTACTAGCGTTACCAGGAGCCGCGGCAGGGTCGAGACCAGTGGTGATCTGCGAGCATCCACCAGGTCCAGCAAGGACATCTCCCATGATCCAGGCACCCTGAGAGAAGCCATTGAGGATGAGGTGCGTGCACGGGCACTTCTTGTTGAAAGCAGTGATCTGGTCAAGACCGTTGCGGACTCCCTCGCCAATTTGTTTGCAGTAGTCGCCGCCGTACGGGAACACGACCTCAATGTAGTCGCAGGTCTTGCCCTCAGCCCTTAGCTTGGCGCACGTAGCGTCGGCGAAGGGGAATGTACGGTAGTCATGGTACGGCGCAGTGTTACCGCGGGCCATGAAGATAACGGCATCGGCGCAGGGGGCGTCGAGCTTGGGGGGTGGGGAGTTTGGGTCTTGAGCGACGGCGACGGCGGCGGCAGCGCTGAGCGCGAAGACGGTGCGGATGATCGAAGACATTATTAAAGATTAAAGAGTGTGGTATTAATTGGTTTTTTAAAACGAGTGTAATGGTTGGATTGCGAGGTTGAAAGACCTGTGAGGAGAAGGAAAGTCTTCTTGGCTCCGGGGGAACAGTTTAATAGGAGCGTTCACCTTGCATTTCTGCCGAACTGGGCGTCGTGTCGGCTCGAACGGGCGGAAAAGGGATACGAGTTGGATCCCTTTTTGGCTGAGCTATCTACCTCGGGTCGTGCGCTAGCAGGAGCGCGGACAAACGTCGTATTATCGAGATTGATGCTGACCATGAGGTTTTGGAGGATGGCCCAGAGGACGGACGTCCCCTTGATGCATACCTAGGTACTGTCAAACTCTGCCATCTTTGCGAAATGGGTCAACGGGACATCTGAGACGTTGCTGTTGATGTTCCCGATGTCACGCTGCGGAAGACGTTAGGGCATGCCTGTAGGCTTATTAATTACTAGTCTGCTTAATCTGCCTATCTCTCTTACCTGCTTTAAACTAGAACTAAGATACGTCTTACTTATCTCTACACCTTCCTTTAACCTCTATGTGTAAGCGTCTTAATAATTTTATCTTTAGTAGATATAGTATTATTAGCAAGAACTCTTACGTAGAGTTATTTTAGAGCTGCAAGCTCTCTACGTGCAAAGAGCTATAGCATAGAGTTAGTAGAGATATTAGTAGAGATAAACTTAGCTATAACCTTATAATAAGTAATTACTTAAAGCTCTATAGTACGCGTGTAGCTAATAGCGTACTTATACCTAAAGGTATAGTTAGAATACTCTCTCTTAGAGAGGTTAGCGTTAATAAATTATTTGTATTTATTAGCGCTAGGTGCCTATAGCAATATATACGCAAGCGTATCTAATTAGGTTTATGTTACTATCTTAATAGAGTTGTGCAGATAGATAAAGAAAGATTAATGCATAAGTGTAAAGATTTTATTTACCTATCTCTTTTAGGTACTAAAGCAGCATATAACTATAATAGTGTACTTTAGTTGTTAAGTTAAGATTTTTCTAAGTTTCTATAGTTAAGAAATACTAAAGCCTAAGGCTTACTTTAGACACGTAACTGTTGATGTTTGCATTAAAGCTAACCTTTAGTTTATAGGATCAAGCAGGGTCCAAGAAATTTGCTAGCGTGCGTGTCAATGCTTGAGCGATCCTCTATATACGAACCCCTGAGCTTGTCTAAGATAAGACTTAGTGCACGTCCCCTTCACTAACCCGAGATGTCTTAGCTCTTGTCGGAATCCGTGGACTCTTCGAGAGCTGCCGTGCCTCATGCCACATTCGACAATCTAGATGCACTTCGCTTGTTGGATGCAGTCAAGTTTCACAACTCCGCTTGTGCCAGTCAGGCGCTACGTCCATCGCAGCGAGGAAGAAGTCAAAACATTGTGTATTGCGAGTGTCTACAAAACTTCAACCCAGTTGAGATGGGCAAAGAGAGCCTGGACATACCAAGAGCATATACTGAGCAGACGCGTCGTTTTCTTCCTCGATGAATGGGTCTTCTGGCAGTATGAGTGCGCTGTCTGGGACTTGGATGTTCTCCAACCACAGAAGAGCCCCGGATCTGCCGTTGTGGCCCCACATGTGCACCAATGTCGAGTATCCTTCAACGAAATCCTACGTCCACTTCGATAGGGTTCAGTCTTTGTGCAGACTTGATATGCCCTTACAACGGTCGGGAACTTTCTCATTAAGAACACGGTTTGTCCGCTTGCACGTGTGTCTTATGCCGCCTTTCTCCGGTATTTCCAGGCGGATTTTGTTCGGTTCGCCACGACAATACCAAGATTATGTACTTCCATCTTGAGCCTGGTGTGGTTGGCGGTGCTTTGTTGATCCCCGAAGCTTTGACCCTGCCTTGGGTGTCGGGAAACCTGGAGGATTTGGAAGATTGCAAAAGATTGTCGAGTGGGAATATCCAGCTCCTGCTCAAGATCAGTAATACTTGACAGATAAGTGGTCGTATCGGATGAACGGCCAATGAACGCGTCAGTCCAACAGTGCCGAAGTGACTTATTAGCGAAGCCAATACCACTGAATCACATGTCGGCTCGTGTAGCCGTCGCATGGTTCTT